AATGTATAAAACGCGAAGATGTAAAACACAATCGGAGTCTCTGTTTATTCGAGACGCCTAATGAACTGAAGAGAGAACCGAAAATAGAAAATGGAAAATGTCCCGAATATTGGAAAACCGATAGATACTCAAATGACTCGAAGAAATGCATCAAATACGAAGAGAAACCCACTCAGAATGTCGGCTTCTTTGACTTCTCTGCAGAAGTAAAGATAGAACCGAAGGAAGAAGTTGCGATTTACCCGAATTTCTTGAAGGCCCAGAAGGATAGTTATTACTACGTCGGTCATGAGGCTATAGAAGAGTGCCCCATGTGCTATGCTACACTCTGCCCTTCCAGATTCACAGTGAATGCCAGGACCTTCGTTTTATCCACGGTCTGTATAGACTGTCAGCTGCCCATCTATTTGATAATCGATCCCCACAACGTGTATTAGGAGGCCACTTAATGCTTTTTGCATAAAGTCGTAGTCTCAGAATTGTATTTTACTGTATTGATATATGTGATAATTTCAAAGATTTATATTTTTCTTCTTTGTATATAGACTGTACATAATAAAGAGGATATTTGAAATACGCATTTCATTTCTGGAAATCTATACAAACCATTTTAAAAGGGAATATCTAATGAACTAAAACCAGTTCGCATATGAAATACCATTGATGGTATATCTTTATCTCATCAATGAAATACCGTTTAAGTAGATTTTCATGTGATATTTGTTAAGAGCTATTGTTCTTATATATATATATATATATATATATATATATATATATAGCTCGAAATGCTGTTGTGTTTCTATAAATATTAATGTTTTATTACTAGTTTATGAGGATATTTGAAAATTCGACAGAACGAAAAGAAAAATGAAATTCGCACCTTTTACCTTTCGCTTCCTCTCCCTTTACCTTTCCATTTCCTTTTTTGTTTCTCCCATTCCCGTTCTGCCACCCTTTATCATTCCCACTATTTAAATTCACACTACTCTCCCCATTCTTTCCTCTTCCCCCCTTAACGTCCTCAACCACTGCTCCATTATCCTTCCCATGCCCGTCCCCAGTCCCCATTTCTGTAAGTCCCCCCTTTTCTCCCACGCCCCTTTTTATCTTCAAGACCCATTTCTTCTCTTCCTTCCTTTCCATTTACATCCTTGCTCATTGTTATATCAAAAGTGCTCAATAGCCCTGATGTATAAAAGAGAAACGTTGAATCTAGATGGTAAGAGAATGCGTTATACCTTTCACACATACACGATAAATTTTCGTAACGATTAAAGAAAGCATGAATTGAAGCATGTAGATATAACTTCCTAGTGTTTTTATACATACACACTCATGCAAACACAAACACACCAATTCACACGTACAGACACACGCACACAAACACATATAGAAATACCTTCTTGATGTTTTTACGTCCACATACCCACACTCAGTCATTCACACATACACATGCAAACACACAGACACACAAACACAGAGACTGCCCTGATGTTTTTGCACATCTGCACACACACAAATACTTCCCTGACATTTTTTGACACACACCCCACACTCACTCATTCAGACACACACACACAAAGACATTCACACACAATTTCACCCGCCACACAAACCTTGCAAACACACACGGACACAAATGAACACACCCACACGCTCACATACGCACGCACACACACATAAAAAAAGACAATTTTATTTATCATTATTATTTTTTTATTTATCAATGTGTACAAAGTGGAAAGCTTTGCACACTAATGGTTCTTGGACTTGCTCTTCCCTCCCTCCGAGCTTCTTGTTTTTCCCTCGGTTCTTCCTCTCTTCTATCTCCCGTCTCATCTCCTCCTCTCGCTCCTTCCTCTCGTCCAAGAGCTCTGCTCTCCCACCTCCTCCCTTGGCGCTCTTCTAATTCTTCTTCTCTTTCAGCTTCCGCTCCTCGTCCCCCGTGGACGACGAGCACTGATCCTTCAGCTGGTCTTCATGGAGCCCAGACCGGCCACCAAGGGGGATTTTCCCTCCAACAGGGCTGGAGCCCCTCTCTATGAGCTCGTACGCCTTCAGGTGGTTCAGGTGGCTCTCCTCCGTCAGCCTGGCGAAGCGGCTCTGGGACTGACCGCCCCGCCCGTGCCTGTTGGCCACCAAGAAGCTCTTGTGGAACTTCACCTCAAAGGAGGCCGGTATGCCCAAGACAAGAGTGTGATGGCCGTATTGGATTACGAAGAAGCAGCACGTGGCCTCCTCCGACTTTTGCACAAACTTCTGTTTTCACAGAATGGTCAGCCTTCTCTTCGCTGCAGCTAGCAGTATTCTCCGTGTCACAGGAGGGGGTGGGATCCATGCGTCCGTCCGTCTAAAGGATCACGAGGACTCGAAGGGCAACTCCCAGCAGAGAGTCCTTGTCTACTCCGAAATCCTTCATCAGAGAAGTGATGTCGGTTGACGCACTGGCTGTCCTGCAGACGAAGGAACTCGTCGGCGACGGCAGGATTCATGGCGACCTCGAAGCTCTCGCCGAGCTTTTTGAGGCCCTAACTGGCTCCTCGAGCACCAGATTATCCATTTGAGGTGAAGTCATGTCATCGAGCTTTCTAGATCGCTTGCTTGCAATCTCTGCTCAGCAGTGGCACAGGTGCGACGGCGTCGGCGAACAGACTTGAAGCACGTCTGTGCGAGTGACAGGCGAGAGTGATGCATGATAGACCTAACCTTTGAGCAACGAGTTTAACTCAAGCTGCCCTCAGGCGCGATTTTGTATTTCTAAACACAATACATATTTTTAGATTATATAGTATACTCATAATTTATGATAAGATGGAGGACAAAAATCAACCACCCAATTTCCTTATCGAGAAAAACGTAAGAATAAACAAAACAATCTGATGAAACCCATTTCATCTCTTTTTACATATACATATTTCCACCAGCTTACACTAGTACACCTAAGAACATACATAAAACTCCCAAGCTTAACTACCCCCCCCCTCACCCCCAACAACCAAACTCGCCCCAACTTCGATAAGCTAAACAAATAGGAAGGTGTTACCAGGTACGGTTTTACGTCATAGTCGACGGCTCGATGCATCTTCGAGCGGCGTACCTAGAGGATTAAGATCTAGGTTCCAAGATAGATTTTACAATGCATTCCAAGTGAGACCACACGGCGTTCCCAAAACTCCTCAACGGTAGGGACATAAACCATTAGCACTAATCAGGTGTGAGGAGTAGGGACTAGGAAAGGTCAGGACAAACAATTCCAAAGTAAAGAAGTTTGCATAAAAATTACGAACTGAATTTAAGATTTGCCTTTAGAGTAATAGCCTTTGTAGCAAAATGTAAACTGGCTTACATATGATTCCTATTTAGGTAAATAATAAAGATGATACGCGGATGGAAAAACGACAAATGTCGTTATAAAGGTGCAAGAGTAGCTCATTATGCATATTACGAATTTCTAGAATGGAAGAGGAAAGAAAAGATTCTTGAATATTGATGTCAATATTTTATAACTTTATCTTGATCAATAACCATTTAAATTTACTGAAATCAATATTCTGCTTTGAGGAGATTGACTTTGCGCCTGACCATGGCAAATGTTTTAGTTTTCCCGTAAAACGTTTTCTTTCGTGCAGAATGTCTACTCTGAGAGAAATGTATTTTTTTAAAGCAGAGACTGAAATGATTTTTTTTCGCGTTCACGCAGTTTTACCGTTCTTGTGATTTCTAGCTATGATCTAGCGGGGAAAATGTCGAAGTGTACTCACGATTTAGCAATTTTCATAGTCCTTTTAAGCGGGAAAATGACCACCATTTACTCTAATGTCTAGTGGTTTTCAAGACCAGTCTAGTCGTTTTGTGGAACTATCAATGGCAACACCGCGTTTACGGTGTTCAGTAATGTGCTCATGTGTATAAAAACTATAACATACCGTCATTATTACCGGGCTCCCCAAATAGGCATAGCCCGGGCGAGGCTCTGCTTCGCGAATCTTAAAAAAAAAAAAAAAAAAAAAAACATACCGTCATAGGAATCAAATAACTAAAAATATAAAAAATACATATTACTGTATGTGTGTAATATATAACATGTATGTATAAACTTTAGACAACACGAGATATTTAAGTTTCCCTTCCCCTATTTTGTTTCATTAAAACGAATTTATTTACCACACGTTCCCTACTGATTCCAGCTCCACAATTCCAAGGCCATAAATAATGTGGTGGAAATTTATTAGTTGGTATCCCACCAGCCCTTAGCCCCGCCCCATTTTTACAGCTGTGTGTATTCGGCAGAAAGGACAGGAAAATAGTTTCCAGTTGCGATTTTTTTAAAATTATCTTTTAAAGTTTAAGCTTGCGAATCTTTTTATTATAATGAAGCTTACATACAAATATTTATACATGTTGGGACTCATTTGTGTGTATGTACACAAATGTATGTATGTCATATAAAAATGGAATATCATGAATGTATAGATAGATAGATATATGTGTATATATATACCTTTTATTAATTTATATTGAATATATATATATATATATATATATATATATATATATATATATATATATATATATATGAAATACTATGAGCATAAAGAAAACATCCGAACTATTTACTAACAGTAAATAATTTGGAAATGCAAGATCTAAACTCCTACGATGAATATTTATCAAGGTGTTTCTGATAAAGAGCAATAATACGCAACAGATGATCAATCCATATATAAAACGTATTAATCGGTTTTACCTTTTTCCTCAAGTTCACAATACAAAACAAAGAAATTAAAGATAATACACAGAAAATTAGAAAAAAAAAGAAAAAAAAAAGAACATACACAAAAGGTCGTTTCAGCCATAAACAACTATTCTCTCGTTTTCCTATAACAGCCCCTTGGCCCAAGCACCATTGCCCAGCGACGACACGACCCAAAACCCTGTGCATTCTCGCCATCGTCTTTCTCTGATCGCACTGAAGCCACATTCCACATTTGCTGTCTAAAGGAAGGTGTTGGTCGTCGGCTCAAGGAGGAATATAATCCTACGGTTTCTTGTGATTCTAATCGACGAGCATCTTTTATATAGTAATTAGCAGTTGTCTGATTCTTTGAAGAGAAAAAAAAGGTTGCAGTTACTAGGAAAATGGTAAGTAATTTTAGCTTTCGGGTAGAAAATTTGGTGATATTGTTGGATTTGTCGCTAGTTTTAAAAATGTCATTGAAGAGACTGAAATTAAGTTCCCGAGTATGTTGTTCATGCGAGTGAAAATGCTCAAATATGTATTTGGCACATTAAATTAGTTTGTTAGAGTATAGCACTCAAAATTGTCAGTGTTGACGGTATAGGTCCAGTTTTCAGACAGCCATCTTTTATATAGAAAATATTTGCAAACGATAGAGCAAATAAAAAAAAAAAATGTACTCCTGTCGCAACAAAAAAAGTTTTTAGATATTTAGATGCTCTGCGACACATGGGTATTAAAAGAAAAAAAAAACATCAGAGTTTTTCCTACTCTTTTGTAAACAAAACCCTGGTGCCGGGGTTTAATTTTATTGTAAGATTTCAATTTCGTACGTAGATAAAGCCCGCATAAAGTTGCATGGAGAATTTCTCTGCATAAGAGATGACGGTAGTGCTCGACACTTCTTGTGTAGTAGACCTACTCATCACCTAATAAATTAAATAAACCCGAATCCAGCATAGCAACAGCTGATATGCACTAAGGTTTTCAAGCTTTATAATGTGTTCAAAGTGTGTTGTTTGAGAATAACAACCGCGTAGACTGCGTGTATCGCAACGATGGCGCGACACGTAACTGTCGGCAGCGCATTAAATTTGCTTTGGTTTGCTTTGCTTTGTACTATTTAACGCAATCAATTAGTAAAATAACGTTAATATATGAGGAACAATTAATGAAACTTTATCCATATATTTGATACGATCATCAGGAGACTTTCGAAATGCATTTTCATATTTAAAAGTTTGTCCAATCATGACTTAACGCTTTTGCTTTGTGCGTCAGCCAGGCAAGAAAATAATCCCGGATTTAACCGCAGAATTGTATACAGTGATTTTAAAGGTGAAACATGGCTCCCGTAGTTTCTTCAAACTCAACTTAGTCATTTTGCGTTTTTTTTTCTTGTGGAAATCCCCAAAATGCAGTGCGAAGCCGACTCGTACAGATTTGATCAACTTTGCCGTCTGGGAATAAAAGTTCCGTCACTCATCGGGTCAGTCGCGACGGAAAATAGCATAACAGCATTAAACTACGAAGGAAGATTCCATTTCAAAAATATTTTTGAAAGTCTGAGGCTGGATGAAACTGGACATTCACCGATTACTTTACCCGTTCGCGCAGAGTAAACATATTTTAATCTTCCACTTAACGTGAATTAAAATATTTTCCCTTTCGACAGCGTGAGTGCATCTCCGTCCACGTGGGCCAGGCTGGAACACAGATGGGGAACTCTTGCTGGGAACTTTATTGCCTGGAACATGGGATTCAGGCCGACGGCACGATGTCCTCCGATAAAGTTGGCGGAGACGATTCCTTCAACACCTTCTTCAGCGAGACCGGGTCGGGAAAGCACGTTCCGAGGGCGGTGTTCATCGATCTCGAAGCTTCGGTCATTGGTGAGTGTGTGGCGGTTTTGAGTTCTTTGAAATAAGTTTGTTACCGAGAGCGACGCACCGTCCAGAGAAGGAAGTCCCAAAACTAGGGTATTATGCGAACCTAGAAATCCAAACCTAACCTTTCCTACTTCTGTTTATTCCCTAGACAGCAACCCCCCCCCCCCGAACCCCCGCTTTTTTATTATGGAAAACGGACCTTAAGAACTCTTGGTTCTGTGGACTCGCTGAGCGGTGATGTGCAGCGGATATTTTGCGTCATTTCGCGGTAAATGAGGCCGTAATAACTGTACCTGTTTGACTTTTGGGGGCTACCTGGGAGCTGCATAGCTAGAGCGTATTGAATAATGAATAAATATCACTGGGGTTCAGGAGGTTAAAGATGCTTATGCGCGCGTATGCCACTAGATTTTACCGGAAAATTGGTTTGGATTCCAATAGTTCGATTCAAAGTTGGTTTGTACAACTTAATTACGGGCAGATTCGTAGTTTTATGTGACGATTTTAAGCACAAGTATATTCCGTGATGGTCCAGGTCCTTCCCTGCCAGAGACGGTCATATCAAGGTTGTTTGCGACGGAAATTCCCATCAGATTCCTCAGATATAAATATTGTGTGAGAACCCGAAAAGCCATGTACGAAAGGAATGCCAAATGTTCTAATTAAACTTTTTTTCTCGCTTTTTGTCTACAAGGATGGGACACTGCCTAAACATTAACGGAAATTGTGATGAAACGGTTTTGAGCAGTGGCCAACGGCGGTGCAGATCTGGGAAACCCCCCCCCCCCCATGCTAATAACGTTAAAGATCATGCAATGGAAAAAATGTAAAGGTCTTGTGTAATATTTAAATTTATTCATGTCTCGGTAATTTGTTAAATAACAAAGGTAAACCAACAAATTTGCCTGTTTTGAGCACACATCGCACGGATGGACTTGTACATTATATTATTATTATTATTATTATTATTAATATCATTATCATTATTATGTACGGAGATAGCTACGAATAAATCGAAATATGGTTCGTCTTTCCTGAAGTGAAGTCTTTTTGACAATAGAGCTTGGCTTGCGTTTTAGGAAATTGGATTGAACTTTTTTTTTAAATATCACGCATTATTCTTTAGTTCTTATTTTCCTTTTTTTTGTATACTGTAAGGCTAAAACTCGCGCATTGGCATCTCGGGTTATTTAAAAATAATTATATCGTTAGTGGAGGATGTTTCATAAGATTTACCAGTGTATTTTTAACTTCCCAAAATAGTGTATTAAATAGTGTGTGGTCGGCTTGGAAATTGCACAAATGTATAATTATTAGAACAATTACATGTTATAGAATGTTTACAAATCATGAGTTAAATCTCCCATGCTGTTGAGATTTGAGCCAATATCCCCTCTTCACTTTCCAGGCGAGATAAGAACAGGCTGTTACCGCCAGCTCTTCCACCCCGAGCAGCTCATCACCGGCAAGGAGGACGCCGCCAACAACTACGCTCGAGGCCACTACACGATAGGCAAAGAAATCGTCGACATCGTCCTCGACCGAATCCGGAAATTGGCCGACAACTGCACCGGCCTGCAAGGTTTCCTGATCTTCCACTCGTTCGGCGGCGGCACCGGGTCTGGCTTCACTTCCCTGCTGATGGAGAGGCTGTCGGTGGACTACGGCAAGAAGAGCAAGCTGGAGTTCGCCATCTACCCCGCCCCGCAGGTCGCCACGGCCGTCGTCGAGCCCTACAACTCCATCCTGACGACCCACACCACCCTCGAACACTCAGACTGCGCCTTCATGGTCGACAACGAGGCCATCTACGACATCTGCCGCAGGAACCTCGACATCGGACGGCCCTCTTACACCAATCTGAACCGCCTGATTGGCCAGATCGTCTCGTCCATCACGGCGTCTCTCCGATTCGACGGTGCCCTTAATGTCGACCTGACGGAGTTCCAGACCAACTTGGTGCCCTACCCCAGGATCCACTTCCCTCTCGTCACCTACGCCCCCGTCATCTCGGCGGAGAAGGTATACCACGAACAGCTCTCGGTCTCGGAGATCACCAACGCGTGCTTCGAACCCGCCAACCAGATGGTCAAATGCGACCCCCGCCACGGCAAGTACATGGCCTGTTGTCTGCTGTACCGCGGCGACGTCGTGCCCAAGGATGTGAACGCCGCCATCGCAGGCATCAAGACGAAGCGCAGCATCCAGTTCGTGGACTGGTGCCCCACGGGCTTCAAAGTGGGCATCAACTACCAGCCGCCGACCATCGTTCCCGGCGGAGACTTGGCTAAGGTGTCGCGCGCCGTGTGCATGCTCTCCAACACCACCGCCATCGCCGAGGCCTGGGCGCGCCTCGACCACAAGTTCGACCTGATGTACGCCAAGAGGGCCTTCGTGCACTGGTACGTGGGCGAGGGCATGGAGGAGGGCGAATTCACGGAGGCGCGCGAGGACCTGGCGGCGCTCGAGAAAGACTACGAGGAAGTGGGCTGCGACTCGGGTGAAGCAGGAGAGGATGACGGCGAGGAGTACTAAGTTGTATACATTATTTAATGGTTTTGAAAGCTGTGCGCGAATGTGGATTTCTTTAAATAAAGTGAATGGTTGTTTTGCTAAGTTATTTTTATAACCAGTTAAAAAAGATTATAGACGTGCATTTAAATTTCTCCAGTAAGGAGAAGAGGGGATTTAACGTCTGACCAGTGACTAGGATAAATAAAGATGCCAGAAAAATCACCATTAAATATGATAGAGCTGATTAAAGTTGGCGTATGGAAGCAAAAAAGTTTCCAGTGGAGAACCTACTGTATGCTTTTAGAAATAAAAACCTACTAAGGAGGGCACAGGACTACTATTCGTAGAAAACTAGAATACAAAGACCTGTCCCCATACACCTATATGAACCGCGGGCAACTAAAGGTACATTGGCGAGAAAACGTGGAAACTACAGCTAGTTTGTCCGCTCGTGACGTCCTCTTGCAAGGCCGCGTGCACATCGATTATATCCTCGTGTGGACAGGCCTTAAGAATTCGGGTTTCTTAGCTTTTCCCCTTAATAGAAGTCCCGTCTACAAACTAGCGGTCTGTCCGTGCCCCTGGTAAAGAGAGAATACTAAATAGGTCGATCTATTGGTAGTTTTTGCTGCCGGGGACCCCCCCAATCCCTTGCCCGTTGTTGTCGTGGGGGGGCTTAGGAGGCGGAGACTGGGACCCAATGATGGGGAACTCCCCAACCTTGGGACTCAGCCCTCGACTCAACTAATTATGCATGGTCTTTTTTTCCCTTCCCACTTTTGTTTCTGTCCCTTCACCAAACCCTTCTGCTATCCACCTCCTAAGGTGTGAGAGCCGTGCTGAAAGGATGAAAGGCTGACTTTGTGCCAGTCCTGAACGGCCTGAGGGAGCCATGGGCACGGTATTCCCCTGATTTAGTATCTAGCCCTTACCCCTCAAGGGGACCCTGAGGGGTGGACTGTTTTTATCCCCAACATATCCAGGCTTCCCATGGCCAGTAATGAAAATATATCTCCACTATTAGGGGCAATGAGGCTTGCCCCTTTATCAAATAGCCCCAACGAAGTAAACCCACCTGATTCCCCGACCCCAGGCTCTCCTTTGACCACGGCTCCGAACACTGCAATAACTACCCCTTCACCAATGCCTACTAGTACAGTAGCCAATAATCAACCCTCAAGGGACATTTCCACTCTCCCAGCATGCCCAACTTCAACACCTCTACCCCCACAACCTCCAACATCAACCACCCCATCCTCCCTTATTAATACCTTACAGCCTTATAGCCCACCTCTCCATAACACTACCTCCATCAACACTACTCCATCTTCGTCACGCCCTCGCCCTTCTACCACCCCTATCTCTAAAACAATCTTGAATACTCTCTTCAGTGCAGCCAAATGGGACCGATTTTTCGTGATCCCTCCCACAGCTCCTTACTCTGACAACACCCTTCTCTTCCAACAATGCCTCCAAAAACAAGTAGGTAAAGTCTCTTTCCGTAGCCGACCCGACCGCTCCCGTCTTGTAACAGTAACATCCGAAAACCAAGCCATAGCACTAACAAAACTAACTGACCAATATGGTAACCCCATCCTAGCAGAACCCCATCCAACCCTCAATACTTGCACCGGAACAGTCTCAATCTCACCAGCAAATTGCCCAATCTATGACAAAGATTGGTCAGATTGTGGAGAAGATCTACTTGCCTGTCTCACAGACTACGATGCAACATCAGTACAATGCTACTCAATCCCCCCCAGAGGTCATCGAAAGAAACCCACTAACATAGCCAAAATTACCTTCCGTAGACATGACCTTCCCTTTAACGTCTACATAGGAGGAGAATCCCTCCCTGTTCGTCCATACCAACCTCCTCCACGTCAGTGCCAAAATTGTTGGCGTCTAGGACACCCAGCCAAACACTGCCGTTCCACAGCCAGATGCCCATTATGTGCCCAACCTGGCCATACCCGATCTAACTGCTCTGCACAATCACGCACATGTGCCAACTGTGGCGGCCCCCATAATGTATTTTATAGGGGCTGTCCCACCTACAAATTTGAATCTGAGGTAGCAACTCTCAAATTCAAACTTGGACTCACACTGCGTGAAGCCAGACAGGAAGCACGTCGACGTGGATTCTCTCTTACTCCTTACTCCAGTAATACTGCTCATTCTAACACTTCTCCTAAACCCACCCCTCCTACATCTAACCCCCCCACTTCTACCTCCTACCTTCCCCAGTCTAACTCTTTTGCCATCCTAAATCCAGAAACTCCAATCTCTAATACAGATACTCCAATCACCACTACAATCCCAACACCTTCCCCTCTCCCTCCTCGCACTCCCCGTAACAGACAGAACAAACGTTCCACCCCCTCTTCCCCTACCACACAATCACCTCCACCATCCTTTGCCCCTACTCTTGAAACACCAGTCCTCTCTTCCCCCCCTCACAAGAAATCCTTTATCCCCCACAACTCCCCAACCAACTCCTCAGAAGAAACTATTGAAAATATTCAAGATTACTTAATGCAAACTGACACTCAACCTACAACCCCTGCTCCTTCCACACTCCAAGTAACTGCTGATATCCATCCCCCTCCTAACGATATCCCCCCTACACCCTATCCTCCTACCCCCTCCCAACGCAGCCCATCCCCCCCCGACCCCGACCCCAACCCAGCCCACATTAACCCTCCCACCATCCCCTCTATCCCTTCCACTCCCTCCTGGATACACACGTGAATCCCTTATGTCACAAGTATCCCCTTCCTCAGACCTTCCATCTCCTAATACCCCTCCTGATAGAACACCAACTCCCACATCTCTCCCATCTCAAACCTCTCAGTCCTTATCCCACCCTCTAGCTGATTCCCCCTCAAAGTCTCCAACACGTACTGCAATCTATATCACTAAATCAACGAAAGTATAACTATCCTTCATTGGAATATTCGCGGTTTCCGCTCCCACAGACCTGACCATCATATCCTTTCCTCTTATAACTCATCTATTGTATGCCTTCAAGAAACCTTTCTTATGCATACCCTTTATCTAATATAACACCCGACCTTAACCCTTTCATTCACTAATTCCTTTGCCCAGCTTAGACAACTAATCACTAACTCAACCACCCTTCACTAACATTAACTATAGTGCTACATGACCTTAGATGTCTAGCACATTTATCTTGTTTTTAACCATTAACCATTAACCCTGCCAGACCTCCATCCCCATGTGTATGAAAATAGGCAGAATTGTTATTCTACGGAAATTCGCCGGTTGTGGGGGAGACAATTGACAGTCGATGACGTATGAAGAAGCCTGCGAAGCTGTGGGATATTTTTTTCAGCTATAGGATTTTTTAAAACTTCTTTACGAGTATCGTATAGGGCTTCCATGTCTGCAGTCAAACTGAGCAAATGACCACATTTCATTAAAAGCCAAAGTACCATTTTCTTGATTTGATAATTTCCCTCTAGTTTGCCTATTAATTAAACACGTTCGACGTTAGCTAAGGAAGATAAGTTACGGAAACACGGACCGACAATAACCAAAAGTAACGTTTATCTGAAAAAAGTGATACAGCCTGATGACACGTTATCAGATTAAATAATGGAAGATAAAAGCAAAAAACACCTGTGGGCTCGTTTTTATACCGGTCTTTATAAGGTTTTCTTCTTTAAATGTAGAAAGCACATTGAACCAAAACCTATTGGAGTGACCATTTTAGCTTTTTAAGGTTTTCAAGAGAGCCAAGATGGTCCCTCAATATGTTTAAATTTTGACCCACGATATCTTCGCCATGCAACATTGTCAGGTCGACCGTTCACTGATTTTTGCCCTAAATATCGGCGCTGAATAGCTAAGAATCACTGGTTATCTTGCATTATGGTGTAAGAATGGACAGACAATTGGATTAAGTTTCGCAAGATGTAAATGTAAATTGTAAATATGGTCACGACCCCCAATCTCTTGTTGTCTTGGGGGGGGGGGTCTTAGGAGACGGGGACTGAGGCCCAATGTGGGGCCTCAGGGCTCTATCATCGCATTCGTATCCATTGCTGCAAAAGTATCAAAAGTGATCTTTATTTTTTACTATTATCTCAGACACGCGCACGTACACTGTATATATATCACACACATGTATTATTATACATTATATATTTCTACTAATCTGTACATATATAGTTACCTTGCACTGATTTCTCCTTCAGTTATAGCCATCAAAATCACAATGCTGATGCTGGTTACCGCCACAACAACCATTCGTGTTATTTAGCTGGTCTCTTGAGCATGTCACACCAGACCGATGGTATAAGTAAATACTTATGAATATTATTTAAGAATACAAACCCTGTCTGAAAACAATATATATGCAAGCTTAAGTTACGTTACGTCATGTCTTTATCGGCCGGAAACCCTTCACCATTTTCTGTTCTCGAGCGTAAAATGAATTACTGATGAAATTCAATCATTTGTTGAAAGGGACGCTACCAACAGCTATTTATTTACTTATTTATTATTGCTGCAGTTGTTGTTATTATTACTATTATTATCATTGCTATTATTATAGTTGTTATTATCAACATTTTCATTGTGATTATTTTCACTGTCACCGTCATTGTCTTTATCATTATCATTATCATAGACACGAATGTATGCACAGCTTTGAAAACTTTTTATTCACTGTATGTAGATTTTAAAAAATGTTTGTTAATCGAAACAGAGAACATATGATATAGTACTTCGACTTGTTGTCAAATTTACGCACATTTCTAACCACCAGATTTACAGGTCGTAATCCTGAATTCCGGATTATTGATGTTTTTTCCCGCCGGATTTTTTAGTCTAAAAGAAAATTTGATACACCCCCCTCCCGCCGCCACACGCACGCACACACACACACACACACACACACACACACACACACACACACACACACACCACGCACACGCACACGCACACGCACACGCACACGCGCACACGCAACACACACGCACTATCTTCCCCCTGAAATAATTTGACCCACGCCAAGGAGAGTTTATAA